TTTTTGGTTTTTGATTTTTGAGAGACTCAACCGAAACCGAATCAAAATATATTCAGTTAACATTAAAACTAAAAAAATAAAACCAAAAACCATTGAAACCAAACCAAATTCACTTTTTTGATTCGATTTTTAGATAAACAATCGGTTTGGTTAAAAAAAATCCAGCCCTATTTACAGATACATGAATCAATGTGTAAGAATTTATCATTTGCAAATGATAACACATTTTTTATAATTTTCTTTGCAGTACGAGTTAAAATTCAGACATATTTCGGTAAATATCGATCAATTAATCACAGACCATACGGAATCGACATAAAGTTGAACTAAACATGATATTTTTTTTTTTGGCAGTCTGAACACCATTTATAAAATTAACAAACATGGAAAAGTATCCAAAACAGACTCAAGATGCAATTAAAGACATTACGTGTGCAACTGCAGAGAAAAAATAGGAGGACAACAATTGCCTTGAACCACCGCATGATTCTAAACTTTGAAACTTCCAGATATTAAAGTCTCTGTCAAACCATGCGGCCAAAGGCTTCATTGCCTTCGCTTTCTCATTGATATTTTAATAAATTCGATATAAAGAAGTAACCCTTGAATTGTGAAATACAAGAATGCCGCTGCATTCTTCTTTGATTAGTTTTTACAGAGAACTAAATCAAGAGAACTATGACTTGCATTAACACATTTGTCAATGATGGCGGCCCTAATTTAATTCCAGCTGTTTTTCCGGCTGTTTGCAGGGGTTTGGCTAATCTCTCTCTATCTCTCTCCCGTGCTTTGATTTATTTATTCGTTGTTTATGTCCTTTTGCATCTTTTGCTTTGTCCTGGTAAAGTTTTGATCATTATTTTCTAGTGTTTTACAGTGATAAAATCACCTAATGCTATAGATTGTTTCAAGACCTATATTTAAATACAACGGATTTCGGAAGGCACCGAACCTAAAGAAATTCCAATAAAAAAATGATTGATCCAACCTTTTAGTTTAACACATCTTAACTATTGAATTTTATAATTTTTAGTTTTTTTACTTTTAATTTAAATTTTTTTAAATAATTTTTTAATAATTATGATATAAGATGTGTTGAATTAGAGGTAATATCAATTATTGTCCATTACAATATTCTTAGTATAGATTGTGAACAATTACCCTAATGGGTATGATATTTCCAAGGAAAATAATTTTGGAACAACATTTTTATATCATTTTTTAATACAACTTGATGTGTTATTTAAATGATTAGTTTTTTTTATTCATATGAGACCCATGATATTAAATGAATCTTTTTTTAACAACATATGAAAGTTATATCAAAAAAT